TTTGCCTCTACAGGTTCTGTCCTTTTCCTCTTCCCCTCTTGTTTTTGTTGTCTCAAATTATCCCTATTTATGTTGTGAGTCTGTTACCAAATTGAAGTAGGTATCGTTATTTTTTCTGCTTTTATTCCCCTTGATATTTCTGCTATATTACAGTGTTAATAATCTATTCTAACATAGAGTTGCAATTTTCTGATTCTATTTATCACCTTACTCAAAATTTTGTGTATTTTTCCTTTTTGTTTTTGGCATAAGAGCTCCTTTCAACATCTATTGTAAAGCACGTCTAGTGTTGATGAACTCCTTCAGCTTTTGTCTGAGAAAGCCTTTATTTCTCCTTCATATGTGAATAATAACTGCTGGATAAAGTATTTTTGGCTGACAGTTTTTAATCTTTCAGTATTTTGAGAATGTTATTCCACTCCCTCCTGGCCTATAGAGTTTCAGCTGAAAAATCTGCTGATAGCCTAATGTGAATTCCTTTGTAGGTAACCATCGTTTTTTCCCTAGTTGCCTTTAAAATTCTCTGCCATTGACTTTTTTTTGTATTTTTAATAAAATTTTTATTAGTTTCCCTTAATGTTAACATCTTATATACCATGGCACATTTGTTAAAATTAAAACAAAACAACACAAATGCATTGCTATTAACTAAACTCTAGATTTTACCAGTTTTCCCACTAATACCCTTTTTCTGTTCCAAGATCCAATCCAGGGTATCACATTGTATTTAGTACCTCTTTGTCATTGACTTTTGACAGTTTTAATATAATGTGTCTTAGAGAAGACCTTTTTGCAATGAGGTGATTAGATGTTCTCTTGGCTTCATGGATTTGTATGTACAGTTCCTTCCTCAGGCTTGGAAAATTCTCAGCTATTATTATTATTTTTTAAACCTTAATCTTTTTACATCCCTGATATGCTGTTGGTTTCAGTAATCTTTATTTTTATTTTTTTCTGAAAAAATCGTTATTCCAACAGGGCTCTTTATAGCAGTTAATTTTAGAATTAAAATGAGCAAAAATTCAAAGAGTCATGCTCCAATTATAAATCTCTGTTGTCATCACAATTTCGTCATGATTAATATTTTGAAAACTGAAAAATCTTTTTTATCTCCAAGAAAATTAAGCCAGGTAAAGAAAATTAACTTGAAGTGTCCTTTGAACTTCCTATTCACTTGAAGACATCATCTTATTTTTTTTCCACTTAAATATTTTTGTTTTATCGTAACATATACCTTATATACAGAAGCAGGCACAAAACACTGGAGTTTAAAGAACAGTAATAAAGTAAGTACCTGTGTAGCCACCATCTTTCTCCCCCTGTGCCTTTTCCCAAAGGGAAAAGGCCCACAGGTATATGTATTTTTTAAAATTTATTTTTGACCACCCTGAACAGCATGTGGGATCTTAGTTCCCTGAGCAGGGATCAAACCCGTGCCCCCTGCAGTGGAAGGTCAGAGTCTTAACCACTGATCCATCAGGGAAGTCCCTCAGCTATTATTTCTTTAGGTAAACTCCCTGCTCCCTTCTTCAACTCTTCTTCTTCTGGGATAACCCATTACCCTACTGTTGTCCCTCCTAAAAGAGTTGTATAGCTCTCATAGAATTTCCTTATTTTTTAAAGACTAACTCTCTTTTTCTACCTGTATCATTTCTAGATTTCTATCCTCAAGCTCGCTAATCCTCTCTTCCATAGGGTCTGCTCTGTTTCCAAGGCTTTCTAATGCATTCTTCATCTTGTTTATTGAGTCCTTCAGCTCCAGAATTTGTTTGATTCGTTTTTAGAGTTTCAATATTTTGGTAAAATATTCCTTCTGTTAATTAACTTGATTCCTTAGCTCATTGAACTGCCTGATTTTCTCATAGCTCCTTGGGTTTCTTTATGACAGCTATTTTGAATTCTCTATCAGTTAGATCTCAATATTCCATGACTTTAAGTTTGGTTTCTGGAAAATTATCATTTTCTTTTTGTGATACAGTGGTTCTTCTCTTCCTTGGTGCTTGATGAGTTGCTCCTCTGCCAGTGCACCTGACGTAGCAAATATCTTTCTTCTTCTTTTTTTTTTAATTTAATTAATTAATTTATTTATGGCTGTGTTGGCTCTTCATTTCTGTGTGAGGGCTTTCTCTAGTTGCGGCAAGCGGGGGGCCATTCTTCATCGTGGTGCGCCGACCTCTCACTATCGTGGCCTCTCGTTGCAGAGCACAGGCTCCAGATGCGCAGGCTCAGTAATTGTGGCTCACGGGGCTAGTTGCTCCGCGGCATGTGGGATCCTCCCAGACCAGGGCTCGAACCTGTGTCCCCTGCATTGGCAGGCAGATTCTCAACCACTGCGCCACCAGGGAAGCCCAATACCTTTCTTCTTTACATAAAGTTATTTTTCCCTCTCTTGATTCTAATGGTTCAATAGGTTAGAAATTAGAGGTCTTTCTTTTGTTTTCCAGCAGGTGGCATACATAACACAAGTTTTTGGTTTCTCTTACCTGTGCTACCTCTGGTTACATTTGAGAGCTGGCACTTTCCACCCTCCATGGCCTCTGACAGGTGCCCTTGCTACTGCTGCTTGTGCCTCTAGGGTGGTTGGTGCCTTGCTGCTGCTGGTGCTGCTAGGGCACTGGGATGGTGGTGGGCGCTTCTGCCACATCCAAGATCCCCTGAGTCGCAGGCTCTGCCAACATGGGGGGAGGGGAAAACAGTGGGGATCATGGGCACCCTGTTGTGCCTGGTGGTGTCAAGTTCGTGGGTGCTGCCATTGCGGGCTGGATTTGGGGGGGGCAGAGTTATGGGTGCCTCTGCAGCTGGAGAGATGAGGTTGTGGGCCCCACTGCCACTGCTGCCTAGTCACCTATGGTTGGCTAGTGCTACTGTGGCCAGGAGGCTTGAGTCACGTGTGCCACCTCTCCTGCTGCTACTGGGTTCTCTGAGGCTGTGGGCTCAGCCACCATGGCTGGTGGACCAGGATTGCAGGCACCATCTCCACTGTTCCCCCAGTTCTGCCTCCTCTATGCATTCCAGTCCACCCTCCTTTAGATGTACAGCTGCGTGGAATTCTCCAGCACCCTGGTATGTTCAGCAGATGCACGTTTGTTGAGCTGTGGATGTTTTACTAGTTGTAGATTGAAGGGCTCAATCCACCATGATGTGGACGACACTCTTGTGAAGCTTCTTTTGAATAAAGACTTTTTAATTTCTCATTAAACCATTACCTCACTGTGCTATGACTCCTGTGAACATTAGAAAGTCAGACGAACATACCTCATGATTGACTTTCTGCCTACAATACAGTTTGGGGGGTTTAAAAAAGGACAGTAAGTTGTAGTAAGAAAACACTAAAATGAACATGACATACAACCCAGTAAAAGATCTCTGAAGGGGTGGGCCAAATAACTTTCTAGAATTTGGGGATACTGGAACCTTATATTTAGTGTTTTTTTCATTGTTCTGAGAAAAAGACAACTATCCTTACTGAGGCCTACAAGGTCCTGATATTGACCTTGATATCTAATCCATGCTACCTTTCCATCCTCATCAACAACATCCCTCTTCTCCCTCCAACCCAGCAACATTAAGCTTCCTTCAGATCCATGAATGAAGGTACCATGCTCCCTGCAGCCACAGGGTTTTTGCACTTGTCGTTACTTCTGCATGGAATGCTCTCCCACCCACTGTTACCTAACTACTCCCACTCATCCTTCAGAGCTGAGCTCAATTACCACTACACTTCAGGGAAGCCCTACCCAAACTCCCCGACCAGGACAGGAAGACTCCCATCTTACTTTTAGTCACAGCACCTATCATAGTTGCAAGTTTATATGTAATTTTATATAACATTATATACAATTTATATGTAACTTTTATTCACAGCACTTACCACAGTTGAAGTTTTCATTTACTTATGTGATTATTTAAGTCTATCTCCTCTACTAGGATGTTCTTTTCATGAGGACAAAACCCACATCTTTTTGGTTTTGGTGTTCTTTTTCAGCCATTTTATAACCAACACATAGCACAGGGCCTAGGACATGACAGATGCCTGAAAGTTTTTATTGATTGACTGAATGGCTAAATGCAATGGGAAATAGGAAGGAACAATCTTGAGAAACCCTAATTAAACTGCTTTTTTAAATGTTCTTTTCCAGAACTCAAAACAGGTAAATAAAGTTCCCTTGTAAATGCTTCTTCCAAATAAATGAACAAAAAACCTGCTTATACTTGTAAATGATACATAACAGCCATAGTTTTCTCACCAAACTCACAATGATAAGGCATTGTTTATGCTATTCTTGGATTGTTACCTATTTGCCCACACAAATTCTTAAATTTTTTATTTTTTTATTCAGAGAGTACATAGACTTTATACTGTTGGCACCTTCAGTGCTCTTAGGATACTACATACCCAGAATCAACAATTCAAAGACAAATTAATGTTTTCACTTTGGTAGAAAGATAAACATTTTTTGCTTGTCAGTAGAAATCCCACATGATAGAAAAACCATAAACTTTTCTTATCAAATAATTTAATTAATACCTCTGTACTTCTTCCTCTTCTTCCTTTCCCTTACTGTAAACTCTGAGTTCCAATCAATATGATTCACCAAATATAAATGCTTAGTATATTCAAGGCATCATGCAGATGCTAGGGTGCATAAAAGGATAAGTAAGACAGAGCCCTGACCCTCAAAGAAATTATCATTTGGTAGAACTAATCCCCAAGTATGGACTTGATTTTATTAGAAAATGTTTCTAAATTGAGTAAGATCTCAGAAGGCATTTTCCCCAGAGAAGCAATGTCCCTCATGCTGATCAGATGATTTAGCACTACTTACAAAAATCTCAGATTACATACAGTGTTTTTTGTTTGTTTTTTAAAAACACATCCTTTAATGCCCTACAGGCTGTACTAACAATTAAAAATCTTACCTCCTCTGTTTTATAATTAATTCTCAGATCAAACAGGTTAAAGCTTTTCTCCTTATAAAGTGCTTGTTCAACATCACTGTGTAAATTTTCCTCACACAAGAAGCCTCGAGGTTGACTAGGGTTGAGGGAAGATTCCATGGCAGTACTATTAGCCAGTGACATTTCCATGAATTTCAGCATCTCTCCACTGCAGTGGATTAGAGGTGGCCTTCTAGGAGGTTGTCTGACACACTTAAGAACAAGTTGATCTTTATTTGTGGAAGTGCTAGTTCCCTTTGGATTTTCTTCCTTAAATGAATCTTCCTGTATATTGGTGTCTTCTGCATAATTATATACATGACGTTGGAATTCTGGCTCCTCTGTATAACATAAGCCTTCTGTCAGATTTTGAAATGTTACCATTTCATTATTAAATGCTTCTGTCTGATGAAATTTGCAAAGGGGTTCAAATTGTCTGAAGGAAGAAATGCTGGTGTCAACTGGCTGAGTTAGTACATTCTGTGAGTAATTTCCAATGTTGACATCTCATTAGAAAGAGAAAGATAAAAATAAGAATTAGCTGACCTGAAATTTATGACTTAACAGTTACATTTACATTTATGAAATCAAGTGTTGGAGGCTTTTATACATTATATATATTTCAACCTTTTTCATTGAGTGTATTTGTACTAGCAGATAAAACAAAACTTTTTACGTGGAGGAAAAAGTCATCAAGGGACTGCTACAAAAAAGCTTGTTATATATCATTCTTGTCAAATACCACTGCAACATTCCAAGGCATCTTCAAAATTCTTTCGTTGTACTGTAATTTTAAAATGTTTCAAAACAATACAAACACACAGCACATAGTATAATAGCAAACACACATAAACTCATTTAATCTCACAACAATCTCATGAGCTAGGTACTGTTATTACCCCTGTTTTACAGATAAGAAAACTGAAACATAAGAGATGTTAAGTCACTTGCCTAAGGTCACAGAGCTGGTAAGCAGTGCATCTGGGATTCCAGAATACTATTTCTAAATGCTATGCTATACTGTTTCTCAATATGACAAATTACCCAGATTTAATACATTTAAAAAAATCAGAAACAAATAAAGACAAAATGGAAAGAAGTGTTACAAAATTAATAAATGACCCTTCCCTTCTACCTAAATTCCCTCCTTTTCCCCTCCCCAGAGAGAACTACTATACTGAAGCTGGTAAGTATTAATTCTTCCCATCCATATTTTTCTAATTCTACTACTCATTTAAGTACCCTAAATAACACATATCAAGTTCCCAGACTTTCTCATTTTGTGACAGCTTAAAGTCTGTAATTTTTTCACAGCACCCCTAGACCAAAAGAAATACTTAACAGTTCCATTTATTAAGTAGTTAAGCTCAAACAACTTAACTATTTTTCCTAACAACTTAGTAGCTGTTTAAAAATACACATAAACTGAAAGAGAAAAATATTTTATTTCATTCTTAAACAACCAAACTTGCCTGCTAGTTGGGTACACGACTAAGCACAGCACAATGTCTCAAACCTTGGAATTAAGCTGGAAGCCAACCCTCACTTCCAACTTCACACTGATTTTCAGGAAGTACTTGCTTTTTATCACAGCAACCTCCAAAAACCCATCTTTGCAAACAAGGCAGTATAGAAAGGATTACAGTATGGTTTTTATACTGAAATAGTGAACTATCTTAAGCTAGTAGCTTGTGGGGTCCAACAGATGTCCAGTATCATTGTTTTCTTCAAATTTCAAAATATCCTGCAGCACCCTGGGCAAATTGTGGGTATATACAACATTATTTTGTTTTAAATTTTTATATAACTAACATATTATATATATATCCATATAAATGTCTATTTCACTTAAATTTTTGCTTTTCAGACTTAGCCATGTAAATACATGTAGATCTAGTTCATTCTAAAGGATTACACTTTATTCCCTTTCTGTTATTTGTTTCTAATTTTGCTATTAAAAACAGCACTGCAGTAAACATCTTTATACACATTTCCTTGTACACTAAGTTAAGAATTTTGGGGGGTTCCCTGGTGGCGCCGTGGTTAAGAATCCGCCTGCCAATGCAGGAGACACAGGTTCAAGCCCTGGTCCAGAAGATCCCACATGCTGCGGAGCAACTAAGCACATGCGTCACAACTACTGAGACTGCACTCTAGAGTCCGTGAGCCACAACTACTGAGCCCGCATGCCACAACTACTGAAGCCCGCCTGCCTAGAGCCCATGCTCCACAACAAGAGAAGCCACCGCAATGAGAAAGCCCGCGCATGGCAACGAAGGCCCAATACAGCCAAAAATAAATAAATTAAATTTAAAAAAAAAAGAATTTTTGCCTAGGCTCTGGGTATATACCTAGAAGTGGAATTGCTGGATTATAGGAAATATATATTTTCAACTTTACTAGGTATTGCAAAGTTACTCTCCAAAATGGTTGTACCAATTTACACTTCTGTCTTTGCTTTACATCCATCCAAACCCATGTCAGACTGACACATATGAAATGGTATTTCGTGGTATTTTTAATGTACATCCTTTCAGGTATTTAATGGTCTTGCAGGTTTCCTTTTCATGATCTGCCTATTAGATACTATGTCTCCCCAAAACTCTTATGTCGAAGGCTTAACCCCCAGTACCTTAGGATGTGACTGTATTCTGAGATAAGGCCTTCAAAGAGGTAATTAAGGTTAAATGAGGTCATAAGTGTGGGGCCCTGGTGCAATATGACTGGTGTTCTTATCAGAAAAGACACCAGGGAGGCACAGAGAAAATGCCACATGAGGATATAAGAAGACAACTGTCTGAGAAGCCTCAGGAGAAAACTCCACTGGCACCTTGATCTTGGACTTCCAGCCTCTAGAACTGTGAGAAAATAAATTTCTGTTGAAGGCACCCAGTTTGTGGCATATTTTGTTATGGCAGCTCTACCAAACTAATAATACAATTTGCCTGATTTTCTATTGAGTTATATGCGTCTTTTTCTTATTGGAGTTCTTTATTTTGTATACTAATCCTTTGCAAATTGTATACATTGCATGTATTTTCTCTTAGTCGGAGGTTTGTTAAATTTTACTTTCCTGATTATAATTTGGTCATACAGAACTTTTTTTCATTTTAATGTAGTCAAATGTGTTGATTATGGTTTATATTTCTTGTGTAACTCTCTGAGCCTCACTTTTCTCATCTGTAAAATGAAGGTAAAAACAGCCCTATTTAAAAAGAAAAAAAAAGCCCTATTTCATAGGATTGTAGATTAAACATGATAATGTACATAAAGTGCTTAGCACAGTACCTATTATTATAACAGGACATACACACAAAATTTTAGTTTCTCTGTTTGCATATTGCCGACAAAGAGATACTCACCACCTAACAAATTGCCTAGTGTGCTACAGATTTCTTCGGTAAGTGTGAGTTTAGACTCATTTTTCCTTTTTATATACTTTATTTCATTCTGTATTAATAACAAAAAGGCATTAATATTAATACTTCTAACTTCATAAGCTTCTTCTAAAGGTGTATGTACATTGCTATATAATTTTTCTTTTAGTATTTTTTGTTTCAAGGGTAGAATGTGCTTTCTGGTATCTTTCCCCACTGTATATCTGAACTCCCTTCTAATTAAACCATACTAGTAGAGTTACAATATTAAATCGCAATTAAATAAGTATCTTGCTATTTCAATATTTTGGGTTTTTCTGGTAAATCAAATCATGTTACTATAAACATTCAAATATATGATAACATATATATCCCTTACTGATAATTCTTTGATGTTTATTAAATCTGGTCTAAACAACTTTAAGGTAGTTTTTATTCGAATCATTTAACATTGCAGATACACAAAAAACAGATTCCAGTATAAGGTGAAATCTGATTTCACTAAACAGCAATCCCTAACAATTCATGTAGCTTATTCTCAAAGTTACATTACTTCTACATACGATGAAAGGGTTTATTAAGTAAATTAAATATTAAGAGAAATATTTTAAACGTTTGAGGAAAACATTGGTTTAATCATGAATAGTGTATCAAGTATGGGGACCTAAATGATGCTCTTAAAAAATTCTTATCTCGGGCTTCCCTGCTGGCGCAGTGGTTGAGTCCACCTGCCGATGCAGGGGACACAGGTTCGTGCCCCGGTCCGGGAAGATCCCACATGCTGCGGAGTGGCTGGGCCCGTGAGCCATGGCCGCTGAGCCTGCGTGTCCGGAGCCTGTGCTCCGCAACGGGAGAGGCCACAACAGTGAGAGGCCCGCGTACTGCAAAAAAAAAAAAAAAATTCTTATCTCTTACTAAAGTCAGCTGGTTAACAAACCTCTATTCAAAAATGCTTTTTTTATAGCATTGTTCTACTTATTGAATGCATTTGAAGTACAAAAAAAACAAATTATATTTTATAACAATCTGTTTTTTAGATGTGTTGCTGAGACGGTTCCTTCTAATTAGATTTTAAAAGTATCAAGAATAACATACTTGAAAAATAAAATATAGCACTATTGACATGTACTGATGTTATATTTATACAAACTTTTTGGAACTCCTACACATTGAACTTTAGAGATCACTTCTAACACTACTATTCTATGATATTTAACTAAAACATGCCTTTTGTTCCTTTGGTCCATGCATTTTTTATAAAGAATAAAATGGTCAGCGAAACCCATGAGGAAGGACCTCCTCATATAATTTAAGACATTCATTCTTTATAATTCAATATATAGTATCTTGGTCCCCAATTAACCCTGTAATACTATGACAAAAATTTTTTTTCAAAATGAAAATAGTTCTTTATAATTATAAAAAATAATTTTGAATGCTGTCTAAAAAGAGAAAGTAAAAAACACTCAAAAGCCCACTACCCAGTGAGAAGCAGTGTGACCATTTTTCCATGTCAAGTATATATCTATACTATCAAATTTTAGGTTTAGGTATCTGCTATACATCTGTACAATAACTAGGCCCCTACTGATGAAAATTTATGTTGTTTCCAATGTTTAGTTATTATGGAGAATTCTGCAAATATCTCATTTGTATACTTGCCTAGAGGTAGAATTAAAAGTAAAATGTGCAGTTAAACTCTTGATTTCCTACTACTAAACAGTCCCTTAGAAAAGTATGCCAATTTATGGCCTGAATCACATGGAATTGTCACTCTTTGTCCATTTTCTAACTATGGAAAGGCAATTTCATATGGCACAACCTAATTCATTGCTACTATTTCCCCACACTCAAGATAACAATTATCAAACATTTAGAACATTAATGAAGACCTTGAGGTATAACAACCTTTTATTTTGTGAGAAAGGGCACTAGGAATGTTCATATAGACACAAAGGAAGTCATTTACGTGCAGGGCACAGTCAATGTCATTATGAATCATTTGCAAGCTGACATAGTGGAAAATGCTCTAGACCAGATGATGTGATCTGAGTCGTTATGCCCACGTCCCCTGGCTGCACTCATGGGACTACACCAGGATGCTAGAAAGGATTGGTTTTAACTCTCTATTTGTAAGACTCTACCTTTCTTTGTACACTAATGGAATTGGGAAAACCAAACCCTATATTCCCTTCCTCTATGCCTCCACTGGAGATTCCTTTATTATTCCTCATATTTTTTATGAAATTTAATACAGAAGACAATGTGAAGGATGAAGACATCTAAACCTCCCAGAATTTATAAGCAATGCACACCTGAGGCAAGTCTGAAGTGGTACTGCTGGTTTCCATAAAGAAGGGAGAATCTGAGTGAGTTAAGTCTCAAAAGACTGCTGAAATTCATAGCATCTACTTCTGACATGCTTTCTAATTTTTCACGAGAAGCATCCACTTGAAGTGGTACAGGATCTGAAGGTGATGACCAAACTTCCTAACTGTTGAATGATGAAAGCCCTCTTTAAAAAAACATAATTTTAGGGGCTTCCCTGGTGGCGCAGTGGTTAAGAATCCGCCTGCCAATGCAGGGGACACAGGTTTGAGCCCTGGTCTGGGAAAATTCCACATGCCGCGGAGCAACTAAGCCCATGTGCCACAACTACTGAGGCTGCCTGAGCTCTAGAGCCTGCGAGCCACAACTACAGAGCCCATGTGCCACAACTACTAAGCCCGTGCCTAGAGCCCGTGCTCCGCAATAAGAGAAGCCACCGCAATGAGAAGTGTGTGCACTGCAACGAAGAGTAGCCCCCGCTCACCACAACTAGAGAAAGCCCACGCACAGCAACAAAGACCCAACACAGCCAAAAAAAAAAAAAACAGAAACAAAAGAAAAACATAATTTTAATGTCTATTCGTATATACAAACAAAAAGCTGTTTTCCGTTTCCCTCCTCATATTAAGAAGGCAACAAAGTTCACTACCCTAAATTTTTAAATATCATTTGTGAAGTCATTGGAAAAATATAAAATTAGTCTGAGTATGTTACAAAGTCATGGTAACTTTGCATGGTAGTAAATACTAATTTGGACAAAAAGAAGTCAGTATGTGTGGCTACCATCCAGTGATTCCCTAAAAGGTTTGGGACCCAGAAGGTGAAGGTATCTCTCAATTACTTAATCAAAAGATATTTACAAAATATTATCAGAGACCTATTAGGGTCCACAAAACACTGTATTTCTACTTACCTGATACTTTCTATTCTAATACCTCATTATCAAGTCAAATCCAACACTGAACATCAGTTTTCCCTCCCTTCCCTATGCCACACTTATTCTCTCAGGCACTTGGGTTTGAAAACCAGGAGACATCTTTGGCATCCTTCTACCTCATCACCCATGGGCTACTCAGTTACCAAGTCCTGTCCGATTCTCCTTTAAAAAATGTTCTTCATAACCCATGCTTTCTTTCCCTCCCTACGGCATCATACTGGTCCATATTCTCATGATCTCCTCAGGTCCGTCAGGGGATGGGAATAGAAAACAGGTCCAAACACAGAGTCCAAATTCTTCTGCTTGACTTCTTAGGTCTTCCATAGCCTGAACCCACATTACCTCCTCTGCTCAAGTCAGATCAGGCTTCCTTCCCTGCAAATTGATCACGCTCCTTACCATCTCAGTAGTCTGCCCTGATAAGTGCTTCTCCCTCCTAAAACTTTCCTATCTACCCATTCATCCAGTTTTTAAATTCCTACATCTTTAGTCTAAACTTCCATCTCACAAGTCAGCACCTATTCGTTGACTGTCTTAGTGTTCACTATTCTTTCAAGGGTGTTAGCGTCTGCACTCACATACTATACAGACCTCAGGAGGAGCCCATTTACGGTTTTTCAATATCCCCTACAGCAAACCAACCAGTGTTGTTCAGAGAATATATCGAATAAATTCTGCACTTAAATGATTTATTTCTATTAAAACTTTTCAATCTGCAGCCACTTAACCACTCCCCTGGGGTATTTTATTGAATTACCAAATTAATAAGTAATTCACCGAGGTTTAATTTTGTTTTCAAACCTGTCATCATTTGGTTAAGGATCTATATTAAAAAAGCCAGGGAGCCAAGCCAGCTGGGCAGGATTGGTGAGAGGCCAGACTTTATGCTCGCCTTTTCCTCTGTCTTCCAAATACATAAATACTGCCTGGGCTGTGGTGAAGGGGGTCTGAAACATCCGTCTTTTGTTTTCTAAATACAAAAAAACGCCAGGGCCTTATTCCTTCAAAATTTTTTGTTTGCGAACCTAGAACTCCCAATTATAACACAACTTTGTTCATATGGCATAATCTACCAATTTCCTTTTTTTTTTTTTTTTAATTTAGGCTTCCTTTTTTCATCTTTCATTCTGTCCTTACCCGATTTATGCTAGACTTAAAAACAACAACAACAAAAAACTTGTTCCAATGTTTGGAGATATTCCAGAGACACTCCTAAGCTGTTTCAGAATGGGTGTTAAAACAGATGTCACTGGGGGTACTGGCAAAAATTCTCAAGTGTTTTTTTTTTCCTTAAATTTTCAGTCGTATGTCAAATTTTAAACTTATGAAAAGCAACTGTCTTATTTTCACCTCACAACAACGCAACAAACTTTTCAGGTCGCACAAGTGTGCTCACTTCCAGGGACCATAGTTGCTCGGCTCCACAGTAAGGATTTCGGGCGGCCTCCCTCCGCACCGGGTAACAAAGGAGGGGGAAGAACGCTTTCAACCTTGCCCACGCACGGCTTTTCACACCTCGCAGCGGGGATGCGGCAGCGCTGGAACGTCCCAGTGTGACGTCGGCCCGGCCGCGCCCGCCCCTCGCGGCCGCAACGGCACCCGCCCGGCTCCCGCGCCCTCTGACCCTCTCGAAGTTTCCATTCGCAGAGCTGGGAGGTTACACGGTGTGAGACCCCCACGTCCAGCAGCCCCGGGCTAGCTGACGAGTCCTTCCAAGGGAGGACACAAAGCGGGGAACAGACTCGAAAAGCTCCGGAAGGAACAGTCAGCCCAGCCTCGGCGGGGAACGATGGGAACACGAACTGCCCACACACCTCGGGTCCCTCTCGCGTCCTGCGGGACGCGAGCTTCCGGCGCTCAGCCCGGCGCGGAGGCGGGGCTTCCGGTGGGAAGACGAATTCCGTTCGGGGCGGGGCTTCCTGTCCGGGTGGCTCGGTAGCTAGGCTTGGAATTCCGTCACCCGCACGTGGCGCGCGCTTTGGGCGCGGGGGCTTCTGAGCGGTTTGCTAGGCGGACGTCACGCGCAGAGGCCGTTGGATCGGCGGATAAAACCGTCCCTGGGCCGTTCTTGCCCCGGCTCAGGGCGAGCGGCCGCCGGTGGCGCTGAGGCTCGGCGCGCTTCTGTCATGGACTACCGGCGGCTGCTGATGAGTCGGGTGGTTCCGGGGCAGTTTGACGACGCCGACTCCTCGGACAGGTAGGCAGCCGTGAGTACACCGACGCTGTAGGCACGGTGCTCTCTCTTCCGCCGCCGCGGTCCCTTTGGGGAGTTGACGCTTGTTTGTGGTTTGGAGGGAGACTGGTAATTCATCACTCGGGGCCTCTTTTCACAGCCTTTTGCTGCTTTCTCCATCCCAGCCAGGTCTTTCTGTTCAGGTGCCAGCAGAGTTAATGAAAGCCGCTTGTCTGTCCGGAGAGTCCGGGGTTCCCAGATTGTTAGCATCGCTGAGAGGCAGAGTTGGAGAGAGCGATTGGGTAACAGGTGTTTGAGCTTTAACTACATTTAGCGTTCAAAAAATATTGGAGCACCTATCGTGTGCCGATTTCTGTCCTCAGCGCTAAAGATAGTGATGAACAAGACAAACCAAGGCCCTGCTGCCATTGAGTTCTGCCTTCTACTTGGGAGGGAGGACACACCATTAGGTACATAGAGATATTTTTTTTAAAAAACCCAGGTGACATATTTACTATGCAAACAATTAAAATCAGTTGATAGACCCTAAGTAGTGGCTTAGTTGTAAGGGAAGGGTTAAGTCCAAATCTGGGGACTTACTTGGTGGTCCAGCGGTTAAGACTCCGAGCTCCCAATGTAGGGGACCTGAGTTGGATCCCTGGTCAGGGAACTAGATCGCGCATGCTGCAGCTAACGATCCTGCGCGCAGCAACAAAGATACCTCGTGCAGCAACCGAGACCCGGCGCAGCCAAAATGAGTGAATGAATAAATAAATAGTCCAGATCTAAAGGACTCAGGAAGAGCAGCGGGAACAGCAATTCAGGACAGGGGACAGCAGGTGCAGAGGCCCTATGGTGGGATCCCTTTTGGCTGTGAAAGGAAGATCTAGAAGCCATTGTGCGTAGAGCACAGTGCAGGTAGTTGAGGAGATTGGTTGGTAATGATACAGAAGTGACAAGGGGCCAGAGCATGAAGAGCGTTACAAGTGATGGTAAGGTCTTGAGATATTATTCTAGGTCTTATAGAAAGCCACAGGAGGGCTTTTAGCAGGGCAGTGACATCACCTGATGTATGATTTAAAGGAATCATTCTGCTCTGGAGGAGATGGTTTTGGAGGGCAAAGGTGGACACAGTTCAAAAGTACTCAGGTAATTGAGTTCAAAGATGATGGGATCAAGCTAGGGATATTTTGGAGGGCGAAGGGACAGGGTGTAACGGTAGGTTAGATGTCAAGTGAGAGGCAAAGGGAATTAAGGATAACTCCTACCTGAAAGCAAAATGAAACACAGAGTTCATTTTGGAATTCCAAGAAAATGGTTTTTACCTTATAGTAAGGATTCACTACATATAGATTTTATTAATTTCAGTAAATATAGGTTGATCACTTTCTGTGCGTCAGATCTCTTGTTAGTTGATCGTGATACATTGGTAGATACTCCCCTGAATGACACAGAGCTTGCACTCTACCAGGGGAAGCATATCGAATAATTAGACAAATTATTTGTATTAGATTTGGGTAAGTAGTACAAAGGAGAAGTGGGTAAAGAACAGGGCAGACTTTCCTGAGCAAAGATAGTAGGTCAATACTGGAAGGATACGTAGGATTTAGCCAGAGAAATGAGAAGGGCATCCAGGACTACGTTTTCAGATGAGCGTACAGAAGGCCTTAGGAACTAAGTTAAGTAGGAAGAAGAAACACAGCCAGTGTGGCTGGTGAGTAGTTAACGGTCACGAGTGTACACTAGAAACCGGCGGATTTTACCCACTCCTGGGACTTTGGAGACATTTTTGTTTGTCATAGCTGGGGCGGGGGTGGGGGGTGCGCTGGTGGCGTCTGGAAGGCAGGGACCAGAGATGCTGCTGAACATCCTTGAGGCACAGGACAACCGCCCTCAACAAGGGATTGTCCAGCCGGGGTGGGGAAGCCGTGGTACAAATGAAGGTATAGCTTTATCATGCCGCTCTAGGTTACTGGCAGTTGAAGGATCGATTTATGGATTGTGTTTATGAAATCCTAGTCAACAACAGGGTTTACTGATTATTTGTTCTCTTCCCACCCATATCCGTGGAGATTTGGAGCCCTCTAAGCCATGGCTAGTTAATGAGTCAGGATCGATAATCTGAATTTACTTAAACCACTGTCTGACTGTGTTTAATCTGGTAGGGCATATCCTCATGTGTTTTATGTGGTTTCTGTTCTCGTTCTCCACCTGAGGGCTCAAAACTGGTAGTACTGCCTCTGGAATCTGACCTGCAGACATGTTGTGTTTGGTGTGCACAGTGGTTTGTTCAAATTGAATATACCAGGTAAGTGGGAGATTTTACACAAAAACCCAGAGTTCTGGCTTCTCTTGAAAAACTAAGAAGATACAGTAACACTCGCCTGAATTCCCACATGGCACAAAAGGCCCTGTTAGTTGTGCCCTCTTTACTCTGGGCCAGTTCTCTGGGTTGACAGTCTCCGCTTCTCCTCTTTAATTTTACGCAGCCTTCTTCTCTCATTTGTGCTGCTTCTCTTCACCGTCCTTCCCTTCATGAGCAAAGGGTGATTTGAAGTTCTTTGTGTAACACAAGTCTTGATACGGCTCCTTTTGTTGCAGAATGATAATTGAGTTCAAGGTGAGGCTTGAAATAAGGCTTTAGACTTATTCCCAAGTTTGGTCAGAAAGCTTCCCCCACCCCTTCTTTTTCTTTTGTTTTTGTTTTGCGGTACGCAGGCCCCTCACTGCTGTGGCCTCTCCCGCTGCGGAGCACAGGCTCCGGACGCGCAGGCTCAGCAGCCACGGCTCACGGGCCCAGCCACTCTGCGGCATGTGGGATCCTCCTGGACCGGGGCACGAACCAGTGTCCCCTGCATCGGCAGGCGGACTCTCAACCACTGCACTGCCAGGGAAGCCCCCCCACCCCCGCCCTTCTTAAAGGGGCTCTGTGAATGGTTTTCCTGAAGTTCAGGTCTGGTGTACTCATCAGAGTTAGTTCATTCAGCAGAGAAGATAATAATATAAATTCTAACTTCATTAACGCAGGGGTGGATTTAACCACCTTATGTACTTCTTCCGTGGTAGGACCTGGAGAATAAGTAAACAGCTGGAACAGAAACCTGAGAAACAGGAGAACTTGGTGTTAAGTTTGAGTTTATTGGGAGATGTTGTAAGGGAACTTTTTAGATTTATTGGTATAGATGTAGCCTACTATATCATAAATAAATACATATGCAAGTCCAATTAGAGTATGTGTAAACATGCCAAAACATTGTTATTTCCAGTGAAAACGTTGACTTGAAGACTGTCAAAGAGGAAGGTGATATTCTGTTTGAAGACCTTCAGAATAACGTGGATGAGAAGATCGGTGAAGGTGAGATGGAAAGGGAGGAAGAGGAGGATTATGACGACGATGACTGGGACTACGACGATGGATTTGGAAAACTGGTCAGGTGCTCAGCCTCAGGTGGAGGGAGTAACCTGCAGGTATCTGATGAACCATCCTGTACATCTTTGCATTGTTTGCTTATGTCTTCTTCTTTTTTTTTTTGCGGTACGTGGGCCTCTCACTGTTGTGGCCTCTCCTGTTGCGGAGCACAGGCTCCGGACGCACAGGCTCAGCGGCCATGGCTCACGGGCCCACCCGCTCCACAGCATGTGGGATCTTCCCGGACCGGGGCACGAACCCGTGTCCCCTGCATCGGCAGGTGGACTCTCAACCACTGCACCACCAGGGAAGCCCTATGTCTTCTTTTTTAAAAGGACTTTTTGTGGTTCTAGAATTGAGTAACCGAAAAGTTTTCACCGGTTGTATTGCACCATAGCCCTAGCCTTTACTGGTTTTCATTCTTCATCCTTTCCATATTTCTGATAATGATGTACATTTGTTCCATAATCAGTAAATTTAAAAAGTTATTTAAATTGTCATAAGATAACCTAAAAATCTGCCTGGGAAAAGACACAAAAAGGCAGATTACTACAAATGGTTAGGAAACAGAGAAAAAGTTCAGCTTAATTAGTAATTAAAGAAAAGCAGAGAGTATGTAGAGATTTTTTTTTTTTCACTTATGAACTGACAGACACAAAATATGTAATTGATGGTCAAATAAATAGGTACAGTTATTTGGGGGATAAATTGGTGTGTGATAAAAGCTTAATAAAATAAGTGCTTTGACTCAGCAGTTCTTCTAGGAGGGTCCCAAGACTTAGTTACAAGAATGATCCTGGATTGTTATTTCTGGCAGAGGAATGTTAGAAACGACCTTGATTAAATTTACAGTGGGACTGGTTCACACAACGAGATATTATGTAGCCATAAAGTCTGTTGCCATGGAAAACTGTCTTAATGACATGGAGAAATGTTCCCGATCTGCCATCGTCTACCAAGTGTGGAATGCAGGTTACCAAGCCGCGTAGAGCCTGCCCCTCAAACTGCAAGGACTAAGTGTTGGGAGTGTGCAGAACCAGAGGGTTCACAGACGGTACATCTTCCTGGAACATAAAGGTTCCTAGAGCATGAAGATAGGGAGCGGGGGGGAAAGCAGCACTATTTCTTTGAAAATTAAAGCAACTCTATCTTGGCTTAGAATGCATACGTTCTTGAATAACCAAAGAAATTTCACACTTACATGCGGTATTGCTTTGGCAACTCCTTCACTGATTCATTGGTGAGACTGAGCAATTTCAACACAGTGGAATTTCTTTTTTTAAAGCTATAGGGGGAAATATATCTGCTTAAATGTTAACTGTTAATCTTTGGGTGCTGGGCTTATAGGTAATTAAAATTTTACCTGTGGTTTCTACTGTGAACATGTATTATTTTAAGTTATATTTAATAGAAAACAATTTTTCAGTTCCCTGTAAATGAGAAACTACTCAGCCTCCAAGTTCACACGTAGATACCAGGATTGAATCAGTCCTTGTGACAGGCCCTTTTAATCTCTGTTCTCTTATTTATAGGTTCTGGATATTGTCTCCCCTCTCTTCCCTTTTTTTCGCATTACTTCAATTTGTGCATTGCACCAGTCTAAGTGCTGAGCCTTGTACTTAATCTTTCCCTCTCTTGAGACACTAAGCCCAAAATGAAATTCCTGGAACCAGTTTAACGTTGGTCTTAGCTCTTTATTATACGCTTGGGGGTAAATGAACATTCTCACATTTTATATCTAGAAACCAGTCAAATTAGAAAAATGCGTTTAATTTTAATTTGTTGTTTATAATAATGAAGATATGTTGTAGAGAGGTTAGAAACAAAAGCAATAATGCAGATTATATAGACTTTATTTTAGCCAGTGACTTTGTCCCATTTCAAATGCCTTTTTAAAAAAAATAAATTTATTTTTTAATTTATTTTATTTATTTTTGGCTGCATTGGGTCTTCGTTGCTGCATGCGGTCTTTTCTCTAGTTGCGGCAAGCGGGGGCTACTCTTCGTTGTAGTGTGCGGGCTTATTTCTGTGGCTTCTCATTGCAGAGCATGGGCTCTAGGCGCACAGACTTCAGTAGTTGTGGCTCGTGGGCTCTAGAGCGCAGGCTCAGTAGTTGTGGTGTACGGGCTGAGTTGCTCCACGGCATGTAGGATCTTCCTGGACCAGGGCTCGAATCCTTGTCTCTCCTGCATTGCCAGGTGGATTCTTAACCACTGCACCACCAGGGAAGCCCTGAAATGCCTTTTTAAAAAACTTCTCGGGCAAGTTTGATTGATCCTTCCCTTCCCTTAGGGTACTCCCCGAAGTATTGATACTTTAATAGTTAACTATGGGACTTCCTTGGTGGCGCAGTGTTTAAAAATCCATCTGCCAATGCAGGGGACCTGGGTTCATTCCCTGGTCAGGGAAGATCCCACATGCCTCAAGGCAATCCCACATGCCCATGTGCCACAACTACGGAAGCCTGCATGCCTAGAGCCTGTGCTCCACAACAAGAGAAGCCACCGCAATGAGTCCACGCACTGCAACGAAGAGTAGCCCTGCTCGCCGCAACTAGAGAAAGCCGCCATGCAGCAACAAAGACCCAACGCAGCCATAAATTAATTAATTAATTAATTAATACTAAGGGAAAAAACGTTATGAACCTTAGGCTTGTATTTATAGTTAGAGCTTTAGTCTCTGGAACTCATTTCTTCCAGGCAAATCGACAGACTCCCAGCTGCAATTCAGCCAAAATGTCTACTCCATCAGACAAGGTCTTACGGAAATTTGAGAATAAAATTAATCTAGGTGAGTTTTTAAGATACATTTCCTCACTGGGCTATGAGAAAATTCTTCAAAAACCACAAAGTGTTATAAAATTTTATTAGATTAGGCAATGGATATATTCTGTGTTACTGACTAAATACTAATGCTTAGAGAAAATTTAAAACTTAGTCATTTAAAAACATGGCTTCAAGGAAAGGCTTTAGCTTATACTTTTTTAGTTGTGTTTTCTCTCCTGTTGTAGAAATATGAAGTTACAGATACCCATTCAAGTTATTGTCTGTTTTGTATTAGATTTTGTAGTAAGATTATCTCGTAGTAGAATGTTGAAAACACTAGGCTATTGCGTATAATTACGTTTTGTTTTACTCGAAACTTTTTGTGTGGCATTAATCATTTAGTGAGCTATTGAAAGCAAGGAATCAGAATGTGGATTTGAAGCCACTTGGGAAATGCAGGGTCATCTTGCTCTCGTAGACGCTGACCGTTACGGACCTGGTACAGCATCTCTTATATCTCATCATTGCCTGTCATAGGCCCATAATTTGAAACGAAACTGACATTTTTAGAATTAACTTGGAATACAGGCAGTTATATTATCTATGTTAGTCGTACAAAATATTAAAAAATATCTGAAATTCAACATATGCAGGTAAAGTAGTTTTGAGAGATTTCTGGATCTAGATTTTTATGGCTCAGAAATGACAGCTGTCGTGATGAAAGTGACAACCCTTGTTAGTAAGGAAGCACAACTTAGCGCTTGCCCTTAAAAACATTAAACACTTTTTCCATTACTACAATAGATACTATGTATAATAAAATATTTAGAAAATGGAGAAGGCAGAAAGTATGCTAGTCAGAAACTTTTGTCTTACATGTTGTTTATGTTGTGGGGTTTTTTTTGTTTATTTTTAGAAAAACTATACGTTACTGATTCTGTCATAAACAAAGTCACGGGAAAGTTTAGACAAAAGGAAGCAGATATGTAAGTAATATTTCAAGTATATAAAATAAATAAATAAATAAAACAAAACCTGGCTGGTAGGAACTAATTCTAGACAAATTAGTAGCATCTTTGTCATAATTCTTTTGCAAAGGATGTTCCTTTGTGTACCTGAACCAATTATTTTTTTTTAATTTTTTTACGTTTAAATGAGGGTATCCTATGCTTTGTAGGTTGAAAATATTAAATGAGTTTTCTTAAGAAATATGTGCTAAAACTATAATTTGTGAAATTCACGAATGTGCTCTCAGGAGGGGAACAGTGTTTGTACATTACAGTTTGAACTAGAACGTTAGAGTATAAAAATGTTCCCTTTTTAGAACTTATTAAGAATTGTTCCCTTCCATGGAATATTTTTAAAATTTTAAGGGTAGATTTAAAACTAAATAGTGATACAACAGAGAACAGTTTTCATTTACAACTCTGTTCTCAAAGCCAAATGTTTAACATTTGGCTAACCTCCTATTGCTCATGGCTCTAAGGCATTAACAATATAGAAAGTGGCACTAAGATCATATAAATGGCAGTGTTAGAACTGAACTTAAAAACCAGTTTTCTTCTCCTTTATTGTTATGCCCAAGGGATACCAGCTTTTTGAGAAAGAGCATTTCTTATTTCATTCAAGTGTCTGTTTGAATCTTTGTTAATAGTTGAGGTTAGTCTGTGAATTGAGTCACTTAGTGTGAGTCGAAGCCATCAGAGCCGGCATTTTAATGCAGTAACTGTCTTGAAATGATAAAAACTTGTGTCTTTGTAGAAAAGGACTCTGAAGAGAAAGCCTTGTACATGATTTTAATTCTATACTAATATAATCTTTAAAGGTCTAAGGACAGTAGTTACAGACTTGATGTTTTCTTTTTTCCGACATAGTTCACTGTATCCCACTGCCCTACTTATTTAATGCTTCGGAAACATGGAAGGCATTTTTTTTTTTTCTTACTGCAGATATGCTCCTTTTGCCCTAGGGAACTGAATTGCTTATTAAGGGGAAATGAAGTTTCACAAAGTGATGAGACTAGGATGAGGTCGTGCAGCGTGTTATTAAAGGAACTACCTGCTTAGGAATTTCATGGAACGATGTACATTTAGAAACTTCTGATTTTGGCTTCTCTGAATTTTGAATGTCACTTCCGTTTTCTTGGCTCTACCTTAGGTATCGCATCAAAGATAAGTCGGACAGAGCAACTGTAGAACAGGTACAGTTGAAATGTGTCACCAGCTCTTACTTTAAAGGAGCATTTCTTCTGTCTTTGAGTTGTAATTTGCTTTCATCCCTCTTGCTTTCTGCTGATGTCACCTAGAACTGCTTCTGTGTAAAATTGCTCCTCCTGTGACATTAGAGAGCTACATTTTGCTTTATTTCTAACAGGACTATTAATAGATAAATTAGAACCATGCCCCCCTTCTGGGGCCCTGTGAAGCCACCATGCAATGCTTTCATCTTCTAGGGGGAAGCAGAATTGACTGTAAGACCAGAAATCTTTTCTTTTGTCTTAAACAAGGTCTGCAGGTATTTTGTGAGCCTTCCCAGGTGGTGAGGCAGGTATCACGCACAGAACGTGTGTGTGTGAGAGAGAGAGGAGAGAGGGGGGTAGACAGATAATGCCTTCAAATTTTCAACTAGAATCCCTTTCTTGGTTTAGAAGTTATGCTTCTTTTATTATTCAACAATGGGGAAAAATCAGCCCCTGATTTTCCCACATGTAGAGGGTTGTAACTGGGTATTAGGGTTGGCCCAGAATTTTGTCATGAAGAGAGTGATAAAACAGGTCAGAACGTTGCTTCTGCTGCCTACCACGCTCCCCGACCCGTACATATGTGCACAGACACGTTTCGAATAGTAGCCTCTTTGCCCTCCAGATTCTTGGTTTAAGACACAAGCACGCACTCTCTCCACCTCCATCCCAAGGGAGTCACACCCAACCTGAGCTCCAACCCATTCGTGCAAATGAAGAATTCCACCTTCAGTCTGGCAGGAGCAGGTCAGGTCTGGGATCTGTGTCTTTGTTTTCCTCTAATTTATTTATTTTGTGTATTGTCTTTTGTGACTGAGAACGAAGTGTGGTCCAACTCAGAGAGATGAGGCAGCTTTCATTTTCAAAGACCCTGAAATCCTTTTTCTCTTGGGAAATTAATTTTGAACAAGAGTGTATATCTTGAGTCTTAAACTGTCTTTTAAAAATATATATTTGTAAGTTGACTTGCCTCTCCTATTTCTCTTCCCCTATTTTTTTTTCAACTATTTGGGCCCATTGCTCTTTCCTGGGCCTCTCACTTGGCTCCCCAGCGATCTTGCAGAAGCCCAGGTCTCTACACAGATTCCTACTCACCCAGCTTACTTGCCCTCTGTTTACCTGTGCGCAGAGAAGCAGCGGCAGTTACTGCCTCTTTACTCACTTTCCTTTCATTCTGCTCTAGTTGCCGTGGCTATAGTTTGCTTTTAGTCCTCCAGTCTTACAAGGTTGTTTTGTTTCTGTTAACCTTAGGTTCCTTGTGCGTCCACGGCCACCTCGTTGAAGGGTAGACCCTGAACTATCATTAGTTCTGGCCACTTTAACTGTCCCCTGCCTGGAGCTGGAGGGCTGCCTGCGCCCAAGGAGCTGCTGGTGCTGGCCCTGGGAATTGCATGTAAATGTGCAGCTGCCTCAGTTTCACGTGTGAACAGCCTCAGGCTTTAAATTCGTTGCCTTCTGTTTGTTAAAGAGAATTTGAGGGTCCTTTGTACTCAAGATTGACTGCTCTGACTTTGAAGGAGAGCCTTTCCCTGATCTACTCATCTCTAGCAGGGGTCTGCGAACTCTTTATTTAAAGGGCTAAATAATAAATACTTTAGGCATTGTGGGCTACAATTTTTTTAATAATTTTTTCTTTTTTTACTTAATTTATTTTTGGACGCGTTGGGTCTTCGTTGCTGCGCGTGGGCTTTCTCTAGTTGCGGTGAGCAGGGACCACTCTTCATTGCAGGGGCTTCTCTTTGTTGTGGAGCACAGGCTCCAGGCGCCAGGGCTTCAGTAGCTGTGGCATGCAGGCTCAGTAGTTGTGGCTCCCGGGTTTAAATGTGGGATCTTCCCAGACCAGGGCTTGAACCATGTCCCCTGCATTGGTAAGTGGATTCTTAACCACTGTGCCACCAGGGAAGTCCCTTTAATAAATATTTTTAAAATTAAAAACCATTTTCAGCTTTCAAGCTATAGAAAAACAGGCTGTGGCTGATTTGACTTGTGAACTGTAGGATGCCGGTTGCCGCTTTAAAGCTTCTTATCCAGTGCAGCCGCCACGGAGCTTGTGTGGTGTGGCTAGCATGACTTGCAACGTGCTAGAAATGCACATGCACACCAGGTTTTGAAGGGTTTGTGTAAAATACAGAGTGTTAAATCTCTCCCTAATAACTTTTTATATTGATTATGTATTGAAATGATAATGTTGGGTTAGATAAAATCTATTCAGATTAATTTCACCTGTTTACCGACAACTGGAAAAGACAGTTTCCTCCGGTTTGATCGTATTTCTCTTAGCTAACATTGGTCTAGGGTCAGTTTCAGCTTCTCTTGGACTTGGTAGCCTTTGATTGCACGACTGAATGAACTTGCTGGTTTCTTGTCTTTTTGGTTCCTTTGGTCTCACCTCACATTTTATTCACTAAAAATGAGAGTGAACAAAAGCACCGCAATAGTGACTCTTCTTTAGTCGAGCAGGATTGCACAGTGCCTTTGCTCTTCAGTCTCTTGTCTAACGCTTCGCTGAGAAATATTTGGTACTCTCTGGACTTTGTATTTCTTGCATTTCTTTTTAGGTGTTGGATCCCAGAACACGAATGATACTGTTCAAGATGTTGACGAGAGGAATCATATCAGAGATCAATGGCTGCATTAGCACAGGGAAAGAAGTGAGCAGTTCTCGCGATGCCTGACGCTTCCATGTTAGCTTTCTGATTTCAGAGACCAGATGAAACTAAGGCACTTAGTAGATAAATCGTGCCTTTAAAAAGAAAAGAAAAAACAAAAGCCCCATATACAAGCCAGGATAGTTTAATCAGTGCCATTTCTTAAAAATGGCTTTATTACATGCTCTATAAAACAGATAACTAATAAGGACCTGCTGTATAGCACAGGGAACTCTACTCAGTACTCTGTAATGGCCTGTATGGGAAAAGAATCTAAAAAAGAGTGGATATATGTATATGTATAACTGAGGCAATTTGCTGTACAGTAGAAACTAACACAACATTGTAAATCAACTATACTCCAGTAAAAAATTTTTTTAAATGGCTTTATTAATGTTTATGGCCAGGTAGGAAGTTGTGCGTGTAAGGACTTTGGTCCTGGGTCATGGAGTCCATCCAGGTGTGCCCAGCAGTGAGTTCAGATGGTCAGACGATTACTGCTGGGATAGGGGGTCATGGTCTAGTTTCTGTTAGCCAAGAAATGTCCTTCTCATTGTTTTCTTTATATATGGCATGCTGCTTTTCTATTAGCAACTCATTCTGTGGGGAGCAGTTCTCAGTAAAATTCACTTTATAAATCATGAGATGTAAGAATGTCTTCAGATATTTTCCACGTACTTGAAATACAAAAATGTTTGAAACCACTTCTCACGTGTATGTATGTGTGTATGTGTATATTTATTATTTAATTTGAAGACCTATTTTTTCAATTAATTTATTTTTTATTGAAGTATAGTTGATTTTCAATATTGTCCTAGTTTCAGGTGTACAGCAGAGTGATTCATTTTTATATATACACACACACACATATATATATTTTTATATATATACTTTTTCAGTTTCTTTTCCCATATAAGGCATTAAAAATATCGAGTAGAGTTCCCTGTGCTCTACAGTAGGTCCTTGTTGGTTATCTGTTTTATATATAGTAGTGTGTATCTGTTCATCTGTTTATCCCCCTCTTCCCCACCTTTCCCCTTTGGTAACCGTAAGTTTGTTTTCTGTGTCTGTCTCACGTGTGTTTAAATTGGCCTTTACTATACATGTAAGTTGGAGGTATACTTACTGTACCTTTTGGTGTGATGTTTTATATTTTAATTACATATTCAAAAGAGGATGGTGTTCCTTATGCACAGAATTTCAGTTCACTTGACTTTTTTTTTTTTAACCTTTGAGGATAGACTCAAATAGATTGCAAAAGTAAAATACTACTTATAGTTATTTAACACAAACTTAATTTTCTTTGTTTTTGACTTAAAATAGGCTAATGTATATCATGCTCGCACAGCAAATGGAGAGAGCAGAGCAATCAAAATTTATAAAACTTCTATTCTGGTGTTCAAAGACCGGGATAAGTATGTCAGTGGGGAATTCAGGTGAGTTCAGGGTTCTTTTTTTTTTTTCCCCAGGTGACTTGATTTCTATATCCTAAAAATAAAAACTAGAATAATGGAATGATTGAAATAGAAAATATTTTTCTCATTCAAGGTTTCGTCATGGCTACTGTAAAGGCAACCCCAGAAAAATGGTGAAAACGTGGGCAGAAAAGGAAATGAGGAACTTAATCAGGTGAGTGTCTGGGGTGTGTGTGTCTGTGCTGTGTCTGCATGTCAGCCTCAGAGCTTTCCTCCCAGCAGGTCCTGGTGTGGTTCTCTCCAAAGATAGGGTCTCGCAGAGCTCCATTAGATCTGCAGAGGTGAGCAGAGGAAACGCATTTCCAAGCAAATAGGAGCTACCTTCTCTCTCCTGTTTTACGAACCCATTACAGGGGAATTTTGCCCCGACTCACATTTATTCTGCAAGGCTGGGTCATGTGAAAAGCCTTGGGAGCCATGTGAAAAGGTTTAGAATTTATACTGAGGATGATAAAGAGTCGTTACAGGATTTGAAGCAGGGAAGTGACACAATCAGGTGGTGAGAATAATGTGTCATTCTTTTTATAGGTGTTGGAGTTTTAGGCAATTTTGTTAGGCCCTAAGCTCTTTATCATAGTTTCCTCTTCTTCAGTCCCATTTTGGACACATTTATATATTCTTTGTTTGCATTGGCACCTTTGTATCAAGTAAAGGCATCTGAGATCAAGTTTCCTCAATTGAAGTTTTAAATTGGAAGGTTTTTTCTCCCTTTCAAATATCTTTTTAACTTTTTATATGCTATACATAGGTGCCATACATTGGATATTTTAGTAGTATTCAGCAAAGTTCACTTGTTTTGAAAGTCCTTCTGAAATCACCTTATGCTCAGTTTGCGACTGGCTATGAGTTCACTATTTTTTTTTTTTTTTCTTGCGTTATGCGGGCCTCTCACTGTTGCGGCCTCTCCCATTTGCGGAGCACAGGCTCCGGACGCGCAGGCCCAGCGGCCATGGCTCACGGGCCCAGCCGCTCCGCGGCATGTGGGATCCTCCCGAAACGGGGCACGAACCCGCGTCTCCTGCATCGGCAGGCGGACTCTCAAGCACCGCGCCACCAGGGAAGCCCCAAGTTCACTATTTTTATTCATCATTGTTGACACTGATCAACTCAAAAGATAATTGCAAACATACCTGCTGTATTTCATCGGTTCTAAGGCGCCCATTTCTTCCCAGTTTGACATCTCTGGCATCGAACTATGCCATGGAGGCTATGGGATGTCGTAGTTGAATTGCTGGTGTTTTGCCATCCTTGGTGACACGTAACGGTGCCGCTTAAAATCACGGGTGCCTTAGAGTTTATGAAATAAAATAATACAGTCGAGAGGCCTGGGTGCTGTTTCCTCACGGCACTGCTAGTCTTGTGCACTGCAGCTATTGTAAGTTGTTTTAGATTAGGTGCTTTAGATGACTTGTTTCAGCTTTTCATTTGTCCGTTTATCTGTTTTCATATCACAGGCTAAACACAGCAGAGATCCCGTGCCCAGAACCTATCCTGCTGCGAAGTCATGTTCTCGTCATGGGTTTCATTGGCAAAGACGACATGTGAGTGTGTAGGAGGCCTAATAATTACACGCCCAGAACTGTATTTTTAAATGCTTTGAATTATCCAACATGTGAATATTTCCTATTTAAATAGCTCCTTGCGTCTTGTAATATTTTTAATGAATCTTTCCCACTCTATTAGTGCATAGAGTCACTAATTTGTTCTACTGTTTTTAAGTCCCAAAATGCTTCAGAATAACAAAGCTCACCTTGTTTTTTGGGGAATGTCTCATACAGTCAGCTGGGAAAGCATCTGTTTGTGGACAGCTTTTTATTGATAGAACCGTATCTCTGGAGCGAAGCACATTGTTCAGTGATGATTGGTAGAAGAAAATAACGGGTAACAATGTTAGGAAGCAGGAAGGCTTGTTCTGGGTCCGTTTATCTGAGTTGTTCACTTTATTTTTGTTCAAGGCCAGCGCCGCTCTTGAAAAACGTCCAGTTATCAGAATCCAAGGCTCGGGAGTTGTATGCGCAGGTGATCGAGTACATGAGGAGAATGTACCAGGACGCCAGGCTCGTGCACGCGGATCTCAGTGAATTCAACATGCTGTGAGTGTGTGGCCCACGCGCACCTCCCAGCAGTCACCTCGTGTCCTTTGGGGAAATGAACTAAATCCCCGTCCAAGAAGTCCTGCTAAATTCCCCAGTTGTAGAGTTGGCTTCCACAGGGTCACAGGATAGGATGTGTTCCCTGCCTTTGGTGGCCTTAGTCACAGAATTGACCACTCTGATCGTTAGCAGAGCTAAAGAACTTGGGCAATTTTCTCAGTTTTCATCTCTTGTTAGTCAAAGTGGCTCTTCTCCTTACCCACCTCATTCATTTTATTAGTTATTTCCATTGCTACTAAAGTAGAAATGTTTAAACGAGAGTGTGGGCGAGCCGTGGTGTGCCCTAGCCCCGCGTGCCCGGCCCTCATGCCAGCCTGGAGGCAGCGTGCAGCTCACCCCCGGCGTGCCTGGCCCTCAGGTACCAGGGCGGAGGCGTGTGCATCATTGATGTTTCTCAGTCCGTGGAGTACGACCACCCGCATGCCTTGGAGTTCTTGAGGAAGGACTGCGCCAACGTCAACGGTGAGTGGACACTGGGATTGTCCCCCAACTTGTTTGCGCCGGTGCTTTTCACTCTGGTAAACCGTTGATAGAGAATCTTGGTGCTAAATCGTTTGATGCAGTGATACTGACACAAGTGTGGGTCATGGGGTATTTTTATCTCTTTGTTTCTCTATGAAGGGGTTGGATTAACAACCTCTTCCCTCACAAAGCTCTCACGAATGTCTTCCTGTGACAGGTTTCTTTCTGAAGCATGGGGTCGCCGTGATGACTGTGCGAGAGCTCTTTGAATTCATCACGGATCCGTCAGTTACACATGAGAACATGGACGCGTATCTGGCAAAGGTGAGGTGGGGCCAGGACGGAAGGAACAGACAGTAGCGGTAGCGATTGCACTTCTGAGGGACTCAGGGCTAGGCATGACTTTTGTTCATCGTGACAGCTTCCAGAGACTGTCTCCTGATTTCACAGATGGGGAATCAAGCTATAGGAAAAAGCCAATGGTAAAGCCAGGTTTCTTGACTTTAACCATCAGCAAGATACACAGGCTGTCAAATTTGTGAATGTATAGTAAGATGTATGTTAGCTTTTGGTCATTAATTCCTTTCCCTTGTTTCTCAGAGGCCTTTTTGCATCACAGAACTTTTAAAATTGTGGTAAAATATACACAGCAAAGAATTTACCATTTTAACCATTTTTAAGTGTGTGGTTCAGTGGCATTAAGTACACTGTTGTGTATCCATTACCACCATCCATCCATGGAACTTTTTGCATCTTGTAAAACAAATTCTGTCCCCATTACACACTAACTCGTAGTCCCTCCCTTTCCCAAGCCCCTTCTGCTTTATGTGTATGACACCTACTCTAGGTACCTCGTATAAGTGGAATCATACAGTATTTGTCTTTTTTTGGCTGACTTATTTCACTGAGCATAATGCCCTAAAGGTTCATCCATGGTGTAGCATGACACCGGATTTCCTTCCTTTTGAAGGTTGAATAATCTTCCATTGTGTGTATAGACCACATTTTGTTTATCTGTTCATCCCTTGATGTGTACTTGGGTTGCGTCCACATTTTGGCTGTTGTGAATAACGCTGCTGTGAACATGGGTGTGCAAATATCTCTTCAAGACCCTGCTTTCAGTTCTTTTGGGTGTATACCTGCAAGTGGGATTGCTGGATAATATGGTCATTCTACTTTTAGTTTTTGAGGAACCACCATACCATTTTCCCTAGAGACTGCACCATTTTACACTGTCACCAGCAGGCTGCCTGGGTTCCAGTTTCTCCACGTTCTTACATCCTCACCAACACTCGTTATTTTCTGGTTTTATTTTTTGTTTTGTTTTTTGAGTAGCTGATGGGTGGGAGGTGGGGTCTTGCAATTTTGATAGACATTTACCTAATGATTAGTGATGTTGAGCATCTTTTCATGTGCTTGTTGGCCATTTGTATGTCTTTGGAGAAATGTCTATTCAGGTCTGCCCATTTTTTAATTAGATAGTTTTGTTGTTGTTGAATTATAGAAGTTCTTTATATATTTAGGAGATTATTAACCCCTTGTCTGATATATGATTTGCAGATGTTTTTTCCCGTCCCATGGGCTACCTTTTCACTCTGTTGACCACACCCTTGGATACACAGAGGTTTTTAGTTTTGATGTGTCCAGCTTATCTGTTTTTGCTTTTGTTGCCTCTCAATCGTAGAATACTGAACACATGGCCTCTGAACAGGTGTTCAGGTTCATCCCACCTTTTCACACTCTCCCCTTTCCCTGGAATGCCTTACCATTTCTACCTTTGCTCGTCTTGCTCTGCCTAGGGAACGTCAAAGCTCAATTCAGAAAGCTCTCGAGGAGAAATCAGGCAGAAATCATTGTTTCCATAGGTATATTTTCTATATTATCTAACTCTGTAATGGAAGTAGTCACACTGTGTCCTTCTTATCACATCAAGTTCTTTTTAATTTTGTCACCCTCTGCTAGGCTATGAACTCTTAAGGGACAAGATTTTATTCTGTATCACTGGTAGCTACTCAGTACCTGGCACAGAGGAAATAATCACGTTAATTGAATAAGTAAATATCACATCACTTTTATTCTTAAACTCTTTTTTTTTGAAAGATAACTTTCTTTTTATATAATTTTTTAAAAATTTATTTATATTTATTTACTATTTTATTTTTGACTGTGTTGGGTCTTTGTTTCTGTGCGAGGGCTTTCTCTAGTTGCGGCAAGCGAGGGCCACTCTTCATCGCGATGCGCAGGCCTCTCATTATCGTGGCCTCGAGCATAGGCTCCAGACGTGCAGGCTTAGTAGTTGTGGCTGACAGGCCTAGTTGCTTCACGGCATGTGGGATCTTCCCAGACCAGGGCTCGAACCCGTGTCCCCTGCATTGGCAGGCAGGTTCTCAACCACTGCGCCACCAGGGAAGCCCCCTTCTTAAACTCTTTAGCACTAATTTTAGTGTGTGAACTTAAAAAACTCTAGTACCACTGTTGTTTGCTTTCCTCTGTGTATTCTAAATAGGTTAGAGAACAAACCTTAAGTTTTACAAGCCAAAAGAATCTATAGAATCTTTGTCACCTTCTTAGTGTCAGTCATCGTTTGCTCAAAGAGCTGTCTTTGGGGCTCTATCGTGTGGCGGCGTTAGAGCCGTGGACTCAAGGTGAGTGGACCCTCCTGCTCCTCTGTGATCCCCTTCATAGACAGCTCAAGAATTGAGGAAGTGTTCTTTCATTCTTTCGGTGTCAGTTTTCCTTTAATAAATATTTTTGTTAATCGTTTAAAAATTAGTCAAAACAGTATTACTCTTGAGGAAGAGTCTAGGCTAGACGAGTTTGATTTATACTGTTAACTTGTGGGTTCGATGACAGCCTTTTTGGTGAGTTCTACCGTGGAGAGCTAACCTGTACCACTGGAGGACACGGAGGGTGAAGGGCTGGGACCCAGAGAGACTAGAACAGCTTTCCACTAAAATTGGGGAATGGATGTGTCTTCTGTGGGTTGAATGTAAAGGAAAATGATTTTTGTTTTCTTTCCAAGGCCATGGAAATAGCATCTCAAAGGACCAAGGAGGAAAGGTCCAGCCAAGATCATGTGGATGAAGAGGTAAGATGTGTTATCTGTTTACTGACTTAGGAAACACTTGTGTCTTGAGGTCTTTTTTTTTATATTGCTGGGGCATGATCTTAATTTTAATAGATAAGCAGTTTTTTTAAATGATGATATTTCCTTGAGACGTAACATGTTACACGATTCAGCTGCACGAGGTTGTGTAACTTACATCCCATTACATCCTTCCACTCAGTGACCTGTTAGCACCTTGTCCTGCATGGAGAACATTTTTACAGAACCCCTTGGAGGACGTGATTCCAGAAGGAAGAGCCTGTTTTAGTTTACTAATGTGAATTTTTAAGTGATTTAAATGTTGCTTTCAGTAACACTGTAGATTTTAAAGACTCATGTTTGGTAAAAAGGAAAACTTTTTTAAAATCTTGGGAGTCAGTATATTTTTTTGTGAAGGTGATCCATAGTAGGCTTTTAAAAAATAATAATAATTCTCACAGCTGTCGTGTGTGGTGTGATGAGTGAATATAAGGTACCCCAAACACATCAGCTGTGGCGCAGGGTAGATGATGCTCCCATGAAAGAACCCCTTCCTTTGTTAGGCATAGCCAGGCAGTGCTTGCTCATGGCAACTCCTTTCTCTCCCATCAGAAAGGCTTTATGGAATACAGACGAGGGGAGAGAAGTGTTATTCTAAGGGTAACCGTATATCAGAGCTGAGGGTGACGATGGTGATAAGTTCCTCTGTGACTTGATGGGTTGAGGATGCTGAGTGCACGGATGAAGTATGTGAATAAGTCTCCATTGTACTTTTCCTCTGCGTCTGTTAGGTGTTTAAGCGAGCTTATATTCCTAGAACCTTGAATGAAGTGAAGAATTATGAGAGGGATATGGATATAATGATGAAACTGAAGGAAGAGGACATGGCCATGAACACCCAGCAGGACAACGTGAGTCGCTGGTTTGTCTTCAAGTAAGCTCACCACGGAAGCTGCCGGCCCAGACCTGCCGTCTTGAGTGTTGGCCTCTAAGCTAGTGCGACGGCTCATTCCCTTCACATTAGCAAACCCTCTGTGCACATTGCTTGTAAAGGGAATCAATCCCCTGGTCTTTGTGAAAGGAAATGACACACTTGAATGAGTCCAACAGACTATAATTGCAGGAAAAGGAAGATTTGTATAGAAGTCTAGGCTATAAATGGTTATTATACTAGCTCCACTAACATATGTGTTTCAGAGTCTGGAAAGTGTTTTTCTGCTTAAGGGCCAGATAGTAAATACTTAAGGCTTCGCAGGCCAAGAAGCAAAATTGAGGCTATTATGTGGGTTGTCATATAACAAGAGAGAAAAAACTTCCCCCAAATTTTTGATGAAATTAAAAATACTTTAATAATAATTGAAAGCATACAACTTTTCATGATACAGGTCTACTAATGAGAGAAGAATGGAGTTGTTTGCGGGGGAGGAGAAAACATTACATTTAGTTGAGACTCAGAGTTAGGGCTTTCTATCGTCAGATTGATCGCAAGTGTTTATCCTTAAAAACCACCAGGCCGCAGGTCAGATTTGGCCTGCTGACGCCTGCTGTGCCTGTGGGTGAGAACCACACCCATGCTACACACTCTCTGTGTCCCATGAGATAAATGTTAGGCACCTTTTTATAGTCACACAAGGTATCATTTAGACCACAGTGTTCTTTCTTAGTATTGCAGTGTACTTCCGTGTCCAGTTTTATGTTGATTCTTGTTTTTTTCTTTCTGGTTTCAAGATTCTGTACCAGACTGTCACGGGACTGAAGAAGGATTTGTCAGCAGTTCAGAAGGTATACGCAGAGCGCGGGTTACTGTTCATTTACCTGAAAACTCTTTCAGAGGGTATAAAATTTCATGCCAGGTATTATTGCATTAACAGTGGCGTAATATTACTAGTACAGATGCTTTCAGAGTCCATGGGCATTTTCAGAAATGCCCTTTTTATGTTCCTTCTTCTTAACCATGAGACTGACATGTGGAAGTGCGTGGTTTTTTCTTCATTCTGCCCCTGAGTTGCTCTGTTACTGTAGCTGAGGCATCGGTTCTTTTTGTATCCTGTTCTTCATTTGCGAAGTTATTAACAAATAACCATGTGCTTGTTGATGTTTCTACAACCAACTTAAAGCAACAGTGAGATCTGGTCTCATACCAGCACACAGGCTGTTGAAGGGCTAGTCATGCTGTCTCACAGTACAGATTCCTGTAGTGTTTTTTTCTTAAAGCAACTTTGTTTTGTCTTCAAACGGCAGGGACTGATTCTTATTTAAGCAATAATAAAGGTAGTTCTTACTTCTTTTAATATTCTTTTTTTTTAAAAAAATAATCGATTGATTGATTGATTTGGCCGCATCGGGTCTTAGTTGCAGCATGTGGGATCTTTTGTTGTGGCGTGGGCTCCAGAGAGCGTGGGCTCTGTAGTTTGTGGCATGTGGGCTCTCTAGTTGAGGCGCGTGAACTCAGCAGTTATGGCGTGCGGGCTTAGTTGCTCTGCGGCATGTGTGATCTTAGTTCCCTGACCAGGGATTGAACCCACATCCCCTGCATTGGAAGGCGGATTCTTAATCACTGGGCCACCAGGGAAGTCCCACTTCTTTTAATATTCTTAATGAAAGGCTTGAATATGAAGGATCACGGTTTACATTCTGAAAATTGAGTGTGTTTTTTTTGTGGGAAGAATTGGACTAGGAGAATTCTGGGTTTTATGCAGCAGGTGTGATGGGGTAGGTGTGCTTTGAATTCTAGAGCAGGAAGATTGTGCTATAACTGGCTGGAAAGCCTTTCTGTACAATCACCTTTTAAAGATCTGTTTTTTTTCTTATGAAAAGAAAACCTCGTGGTTTTAAAAATGCTTCCTCCTGCTTTAAAAACTGCTAAATTTGGACTTCTCTGGTGGCGCAGTGGTTAAGAATCCGCCTGCCAATGCAGGGGACATGGGTTCGAGCCCTGGTCCAGGAAGATCCCACATGCCGCAGAGCAACTAAGCCCATGCGCCACAACTACTGAGCCTGCACTCTGGAGCCTGTGAGCCACAGCTACTGAGCCCGTGTGCCACAACTACTGAAGCCTCTGCGCCTAGAGCCTGTGCTGTACAACAAGAGAAGCCACCACAATAAGAAGTCCGTGCACCACAACAAAGACCCAACGTGGCCAAAAATTTAATTAACTAATTAATTATTTTAAAAATTGCTAAATTTCAGGGAAAAATGAATGTTTCTCTTGTTCAAATATTGTCTGCCCTCTTGATTGGATTAACAAGTGTTAAATTAAATTTAATTTGTAGGAAATCTACTGTGAAGTTATCCAAATAACTTCACTTTTTACTTCTATGTGTATTTTGCATCTTTCCAAATCCCGGCTCAACCCTCCTGATGTCCTGCAGGAGGTAGAACAGTCCTGTTGTTGATCTAGGTCACCCAGTGAAGCCCCAGTCCCTGTGTTTGGGTACGTCCTTGAGCCGTCCTGGAACGGCTACTTGAGGCATCCTCCCTGACATTGATTCCATTGTTTTGATGTTTCAGTACAGGATGTCATTTTTCAAAGTCTGTCTGTAAGGCTGAAATCTGATTTTTGGCACTAACACATTTAATACCAATAGATAACTGACTGGTTTAGAATAACATGGTCCTGTGATATTTTCAAGGTCCCTGCACTCCTAGAAAATCAAATTAAGGAAAGTCAAGTTAAGGAAAAGACTTGTTCTGATTCAGAAGATGCCAGAAGCTCTCAGTGTTCTGACACAGACTCTGAAGACCAGGGAGACAACGCCTGCTCCAGGAAGCCCACTGCTGACCTTGAAGTTGATAAAAAGGTTAGCCACAAACTTACATTCCCTTGTTTGTCAGTAAGACAGCACAGCCCCTCAAGGCTCTCTGCTCAGGTATCTGGATCATAGTTGCTGAACACATTGGTCAGTAAGTCCCTCCACCTGAAGTTTTAGTTCCCAAGCGTGAACTTTGCTTTTGGTGGTAACATCAGCTAGAGATTGGGCTCCTACTAGGAGCTCCTTGGGCACTGCCTAGAGAGAGGGCACACTAGTTTCAGTGCATTGATGAAAAGTGATTGTCATGCACTTGAAGAACAAATGATGCTGGAGTTGCCCCATGGTGAAATACCAAAAAACCATTTCAGGGGCATTACAGCCCAGCTCCCTGTTTCCAGAATCTCTGTTTCTTCCATTCCTGGCCATGGATATAAGAGATGCTACTGATGAAACAATCCATGATGGCTAACTGTTACTCTTTAGTCTTAGCCTGATCCTTTAAACCTTATAGAGTGAGGGGTTCCAAGACTTGAGAGACATACCCAACTCCCTAGCACACGTTCTCTTTGGCTATCTTCAAATTTCTATTAAGAAATCTTAAAGATAATTTTCATCCCAAATTCTACCACCAAACCATTATCATTTTCCATTTTTTTCCTGTGATGCTCACTTTTTATCTTTTTACATTTATTTTAAAATTTAGTTGTGGGGCTTCCCTGGTGGCGCAGTGGTTAAGAATCCACCTGCCAATGCAGGGGACACGGGTTTGAGCCCTGGTCTGCGAAGATCCCACGTGCCGCAGAGCAGCTAAGCCCATGTGCCGCAACTACTGAGCCTGTGCTCTAGAGTCCACGTGCCACAACTACTGGAGCCCACGCACCTAGAGCCCATGCTCTGCAACAAGAGAAGCCACCGCAGTGAGAAGCCCACACACCACAATGAAGAGTAGCCCCTGCTCACCACAACTAGAGAAAGCCTGCACGCAGCAACAAAGACCCAACGCAGCCAAAAATAAATTAATTAATTAATTTGTTTAAAAAATTTAATTGTAATAATAATATGAATACTCAGAATGAATTAAATTTGCAAATTTTTTACTTTTTGTTTTTACAGGAAAGAAAAAAGATGGTCAAGGAAGCCCAGAGAGAGAAAAGAAAAAACAAAGTTCCTAAACATGTGAAAAAAAGAAAGGAGAAGACAGCCAAGACGAAAAGGGGCAAATAGAACCAGAACTGTATGATGTACAGTGATTTCCCATCACCTGCTCTCTGAGGTGCATCTGGAGGATGGGTTATTGATTTTAACTGAATGGTTATTACTGCAATGTCCATGTGGATGGATTCACGTGTTTTCATGTAATTATGGAAAAAGCTCTAAGCTCTAGTGTCCAGGTCTAAGTCCCTAGCTCTTTATGGTATTGATAGAGGATTGTTTAAGGTACTATTTTAATGAAGAACTTTATACAATTTTACTTTTGTATATATTTTCTCCTGCAATGTGGTTTTTGAAGCATCGTAACTGTTTAAATGTATTGAGCATTTATGTAAAGGCACTTTGGGCAAACTTGGGCAAATTGTTTTTGCTTTGTTTGTACGTGCCAGAGACCCATCTGAAATCATTTGATTATAAGGCCACGGTTTCTACAAAAGGGGGTTTCACTGATTTAGGGAATTCAGTTGTTGATATAATCGTTCATCACAACTTTGTTCTATGTGTATTGATGATTATTTACAATAAGTTACTCTTATAAACTAGGATCTCCTAGTTTATAAACTGTTTCACATTCAACTATGAGACCCGTTCATTCATTCATCAAATATTTGAGTATTTTAGGTGCGAGGGATACAGCAGTAAATCAAAAGCAATTTCCATAGATAAACCTGGTTTCCCTTAAACCGAAGCTTGCACCTGCTTGTTTGAGAGTCAGTGGGTTATTGAGGGAGGGGCGGGTCTACTGGATAAAGCAGACCAAAGTTACTACCTTCAGCTGGTTTGCGTTTTAATAGGAAGACGAGGCATTAAACAAAATAAGTAAAAAATAGTCTATCAGCAGGTAATATATTCCGGGGGAGGGGAAGAAATAATGTAGAGAAGAGAATGCCTGGTGCGGTGGGAGAGTGCAGGTTTAAAACAGGCCACGCTGAGAGGCCATATTTGGGCAAATACTTGAAGGATGTGAGTCATGTGCATATCGGGAGAGAAGAGCATTCCAGGCAAAGCAAACAGCCAGTGCAAAGGCCCCGAGGCAGAGGTGTGTCTGAAATGTTCCAGAAACAGGGAGCTAGAGCTGCGTAACCACGGTGGGGGGGGGTCGGGGGGAGTAGCAGCTTAGATCAGGTGGTGGTATGTGCCTGGAAGGTTTTGAGCAGAGGAATGGTGTAATCTGACTTCTGTTTTGAAAGGGTCGCGATCCCTGTGGCTTCCAGGGAGAATGGAGTAGGAGATGGGTGGGGGTGGGCAGCCGGCTGGGTGTGTACCATGGTACCCACGTGACAGGTGACGGAGGCTCGGTCCAGGATGGTAGCAGTAGACGTGGAGAGAAGCGGTTGGATTCTAGGTAAAGCAGGCACGGTGAACTGGATGTGCCATGAGAAATGCCGATTTTAGTCCTTGAATCAAAGGCAATTTCCATAGATAAACCTAGTTTCCCTTAAACTGAAGCTTGCACCTGCTTGTTTGAGAATCTGTGGGTTATTGAAGGGGGCGGGGTCAATTGAGCTTTTAAAGTTTTAAGTCAAATTTATTACGTTCATAATAGCCTCTCTTCCTGACTTGAAAAAAGTTCAAAATATGAAGTATAATTTCAGTGAAACATAATTGTATGTCCTCTAAAATATTCTACAGTTAACACAACCAAAGAGAAAACAAAAAAGGAGGCTGAGCAATCCAGTACACCTCGCGGGATTCATGTTCAGGACCCCCTGGCTCTCTCATGGGTTGGGTCTTACCTCCAGCCAGGCGTGTTTGAATCAGGTGGTTGGGCTCCACAGTGCCATCTTTGGTGAATCAAATGCAATCACTAGGCTTGGATTCAGTTTCACTGGGCAAAAGTGGTGTCGGCAGGATGGACACTCATTACCTGCTGCCAGGAGGAAGTGGCTTGTGACGTGCCAGGATTTGGGACTGTAGGGGATTCTAATTTGAGGAGCCTTTTTCTGACAGCTTTTTGCTGATGTGGCTGTTTCCCCATTGATTCTGGGCTGTAGCTGTGGCTGAGTGGGAACCACTGGTAGCATTCTTGCCAAACTGGTCTGAAACTGTTTCCCTTGTTTGTGTCTTGCCAGGAGGTCTGGAGGAAGGAGCCTCTTTGTAGGCAAACTTAACAGGGCTACTTTCTGGCTTTAACTGCAATAGAATTTTGAGCACTTGACAGGTTTTAGTGTTCCTGGATTATTGGTTGTGCAGTGACTTTCCATTTGGAGAGATGAGCTTTGGGGTCTCTTGATCCAAAGGCTGGGACATCATTTTGTCAGTTGTTGATGTGTCTGGTTTTCTGTCCTATTTTGTTGATTTTCTAATCCCATCAAAAATGCAGGTGTTTCTAAAAGCTTACTGTGAGGAATCTGGATGATTTCGTTGAAGCACAAAATCACAGCTATTTCCTCTGCGGCTCTACTTATTCTTCCTTTGATGAGGAAGTTTAGGAACAGCACTTGCCCTGTGGCCCAGGAGCTCCGGGATTTGAGCCTGGCCTTGGAGCGAAGAGGTGGGCACGACGGCAGCTGGCTGCCTAGGTCTGATCAAATGCGAATCCACGTTTGGGGCTGACCTCACTTTTTCTTTAGCTTTCTCTACTCCTTGATGAAGATGGACTCAATCGGTTGAAGAACTTTGTCGTTTGGTACTAAGACTTGTTGGAGAGGAGCTCTCCTTTTCATGGGTTTCTGCTGACTTCTGTGCAAGCAGCTTGTTTCTTGGTTGCAGGCCTAGCCTGTTTTGTGGCTATGATTTCATTCACCTTTTGGCTCAAAATGAAGAGATGAACAAGTTCTTCTAGAAGCTGGTAAAAATTCACTTGAAGGACATCTCAAATGTCATGGGCTCTGAATGTTGACATTTCTAAAAATCCTTTTGGTTTTCAAGAGCTTGACAGATTTTCTAATTTTCAGTTGTTTATACACATATAAGTAAAGACCAGGAACATTCATTCAGAGCTTGACTTTGACTTCTGGGGTTTACGTTTTGATGACAAAAGGGTCGCATGAATCAGCAGGTATGGTCTGCTGGTATGGTCAAGGTATGGTCTCCTGTGACCACATCAAATGGCTAAGATTTTCAACCTTTGGTGATCATAAAACAAGAGCTCTCCATGTTCTGTCTCGAACTGGATCAGGTTATTACATTCCTAATCCATTTTGGTTGGAGTTGTTTTTTTTTTTTTTCCAGTACACGGGCCTCTCACTGTTGTGGCCTCTCCCGTTGCGGAGCACAGGCTCCGGACACGCAGGCTCAGCGGCCATGGCTCACGGGCCCAGCTGCTCCATGGCATGTGGGATCTTCCCGGACCAGGGCACAAACCCATGTCCCCTGCATCGGCAGGTGGACTCTCAACCACTGCGCCACCAGGGAAGCCCTTGGTTGGAGTTTTTAACTTCCATATCCTTTGGGTTTGTGTTACCTTGGACATCAGGGCTTTTATTAGTGCTCCAGGGGAAATTATAGCCTTGTGTCTGAAATCATTTAAGCTAGTTTCCGAAGGAAAAGATATCTTTCTCGGGTCTGTGTTCTCCAGAGACCTTAGTCACGGTTGGTAGTGCTGTGGGAACCTCTGGGCTTGAACTTGGAGAATGAAGACTTGAACTCGTGGAATTTTTGGTTTTCGGCTTTCCTTCATTTTCTGTGTCACTCCACATCCTGCTTTGACTGCTGGCAGGCCGCGGTCATGAGATGGCCCTCGTACCGCCTGGAATAGCCACACACCCACAAACTCCTTTCTCTCTCCCTTTTTCCCAGAATGGCAAGGGCATCATTTGTGTGTGAGCACAGCTATTTCTAGCTCTCTGAGAGCTTTCTACCCCTCTTATCGATGCACCTTAATAATTTTAAGGCCGAGCAACTTAATCATCTCGGGGTGAAATTTTAACCTTTACACATTTTCTGCATAGCTGTCTTGGAGTCATAAACTTGTCAGTGAAAAAGTGGTGGGTCCTTGGGGTCCAAGTGCAGCAGCTGGAGAGGCGGGCAGGCAGAGGATGGGCTGTTTAAAGTACGCGTGGGGGTTGCCCTTGAGGGTAGCATCTGCGCTACAGCCGTGGGCTTGAGTGGCTGCATAAGGGAGCATCAGACGCTTAGGTCAAGGAACTGAGAGGCCAGGGTTTTGGAAGGACCATCTGTGTTAGGACAGGGCCTAGTTTTAGAGTGTCAGTGAGTGACATGCCTGAATTTTCAGTGGGCTGGGAGAGGGGTGATGCGAACGCCTGTAATGTAGGGGGGAGGTGAGTGGTGTCGGACGATGTCAGTGCCCTCCGGAGAGCCAGGGTTTAAATGGGGCAAGGAGAGGGGAACCCTCAGAGGAGACGTTGAGGATACGAGGCTTCTTGCTGGTGTCTGACCCCACGTGGGTTCCAGACGGCACTGGGGGGAGTGTTTCAGGATGGAGAGGAGTAGGAAAAGCCCTGTTGTGGGGTTGGATACTTCTGGGTCTGAGGACCTGACCCCATTAAGTAGGCAAATGCCACAAGCACATGGAGATAAAGAGTAGTGCCTGCCTCGTGGAGTTATTGTGAAGGACACAGGAGAGCTACGGGGAGCTTGGCAAGGGCTGGATCAGGCTGGTGAACCTGGACTCAGTCATTCAAGATGGAACAGTCCGACCCCTTGGTGTTCCTGCAGTGATGTGAAAAGAGGTTCACGGAACCTAGAAAGTATCTTGCCTCCCTCCAGAAACGATGAACCTCAACCCATGTCGCCGCCAGCTGTAATCAGCAGTTTACAAAGTATACAGCCCACGGGAACAGGACAGATGATGCTGGGAGGGAGGATATAGTCAACCGAATTCAGAATAAGGGGGGAAAAAAAGAAGAGGGAGAGCTGTGATAAAGAGGGTCTAAGAGACATATTTCCCAATGCTGTGGATTTCACTGGGATCCTGATTAGATCAAACCAACTGTAAAAAGATGGACGGTTTGGGGCTTTCTTTTTAGACATATAGGGAAAACTGAAAGTGGAGGAGGTGTTAGATGATAGTAAGGGATTGTTCATTTTACTGGGTGTGACAGTGGTAT